GACGGACAGGCTCACAGCACAACGTTCAACTGACGCAGGCGTACAAGGTCATGCCTTGCCCCAAAATAAGCCCAGGCCAGCACCCAGATGGAAGCCCACGGCCCATCTAGGGGGAAAAATAGGCCATGTCGATAACCAGAGCCCTGCGGCTCAGCCGCTCACCACACAGTCTACACCAGAAATTAGGCATCGGCCACTGCGTGCCCCTGGGCGCCCGGCCACTGCGTGCCCCTGGGTGCCCGGCAGCCCTGGGGAGGCTCTGCCTGACAGCACGTCTGGTTCCTGCATCAGGTTCCTGCATCAGCGACCTGCAGCCCCTCTGTGCTGCTTTTAGACTTTTTTCTCCTGTTAAAAAACAAACCAAAAATCCCCCAAGGTTTTGCTCACATCCAAATTATCCTCATCTGAAAAGATCTGCAGAGGACTCGGCACAGACTGCTCCGAGCAACGCAAAGGCAGAGCGGCTGCAGGGGCAACGTGCGCTCGAGTTGCTGGTTCCCCACAGAGATCCCTTCCCCAAAATGCCGCTGCTCCCCAGAAACCAGGGTCTGCTCTCACCCTTGCTAACAGAAACAGAGGCAGCAGGACTGCATTTGACGGCAACAGCGGGCGGGCGAGCGAGCCCGCATCATTGCCCCATCCCAACTGACCGGCACTTTGCTCTCGTCTCCTCGGGCTTGTTCTCGTGCTGCTGCTGTAACATGCCAGCGTGGCTGACACAGCTCCTCTTCTTTCCTTTCTGTTACTACATGGCAGCTCACCGTGGCTCTGGTCGCCGCCGCACTCCCGTGTTCCTGGGGTGCTATGTTTCCATACTGCCTCGCGCCTTAGGCTCCAACTCCCCCGTCACACCACGGGGACTGGAGGACACAGGAGTTGCAAGTGCGAGGTACAAGTCAAGCCGTGCAGGCTTCACGTGCTCGAGGTCACTTGAGCAGGGACGGGACAGACCCCACGCAATTGACTTCACACATATACTATATACACTGGGCTGTATTCACACACACATATATATATATATATACACACACACACACACGTAAACACTGGGCTGTATTCACACAACCTTTTCTATTGCCATAAACCCTACCATGCAGTATGGGACACGTACTGTGGGAAAATAAGGTCCTACAACCGTGCAGTCACACCAGCATGCCCCGGAGCTAGGGGATACCAACAGGGGCTCCTCAAAACCCACCCGCACCTCGTACCACATCCAACGTTACAGAGTCCACAGTGCGACCCGTTCCTACCGTGGACCTTCGCCTACCACAGGCCCACATGGTGCCTCTCCTATATGCTTCCCGTCTTGACAGCTTCTGCCGTGCGCTCTTTGGGCTTCAGCTTTCCTGAGCAGAAAGGCTTCTTGGCTCCAGGCTGCAGAACACAGAGACATCACACACTACGTTCACCCACGAGAGCTCGGTGTGGCCTTCACACCGCCTGTGGGACGTGCGTGACCTTCCCTTCTCCCTCGCCCTACATGGCCCAAACCCATCGGTATAGATGCCTACACACGCATCACCCTCCAACTTCGGCAGCGGGGATGCTGCTGTGCAGCCGAGCCCAGCTGAGCAGCAGGACCCCGGGATGCCCAGCCTCTTGGGACAGTCAGACAGACTGCAAAATCCCGGCTCCCTGACAGACAGTGCCGGCTGTTGCATAAAGTGCAGGCAGTTGGGTATTGCACGGAGCTCCCAGCTCTTTGCCTGGTGTCTGTCCCGCTGCCGCTGCAGAAGGGCACAACCACCCACAGTACTCAACAGCCAGAAAACTGCGCCAGACCTACCACATGTTCCTAGCTGATCACAAAAGCTACATAAGCGCATTACGCGGTGCTCTTAGCTTCTGCCAAGACTCCACACTGGGCTCCTTTGCCTTTCCAGCTGCAGCGAGCACACCACGGAGGTGCCCCATGCAAGAGATGCATCCCCAGAGGCAACAACGCTCTCGCAACTTTCAGCCTGCTGATGCCCCGGGGGTCTCTCGCCGCCAGCCCTGCTCTTCATTTACCAAACGCCCCCTGAGCAGTCATCTCAGAGCAAAATCACGTGTCTGCACCCGCGAGAGGAGATGTTTTCTGCAGCAGTGGACAGCTCGCTCCCTTGCCCTCTTTGCCTCGCCTCTATTGCGTGCAAACAAGTGACTGGAGGGCGTCCTGCCTTCCCAACTCTGCCTTCTGGAGAACGGGCACAGCCTGGAGGCTTCTTCACTTTGTCCTCTGCAAGACTCTGGATAACACCGGGAGTCACCTTCTTTCTACTTGCAGGACTTGCCTCGGGCATGTTGCCCAGCAGCTGAGCGTTCAGGCTGTGCCGTGCGTCCCTTGTGCCTTCCTCCATTGTCAGGGCAGACACAGCTTGAAGCACCTCATTGAACTCGGAGGTGCCTGCTGACCACCGCGACCTGCCTTTGAACGCTCAGGCACGGGGACATTTGGCTCCTGGGGCTCCCGGTGTCCTCATGGGCTTTGCTCACCTGCTCCCGTGTTCTCACCTTGTGCAGTTTGGCCGCTCGCAGCAGCCTCTTCTCCTGGCTCAACTGGAGCTGCGTCCTCTCCAGAGCCTCTTTCAGCAGAGCCTTCTCTTCTGCCTCCCTGTAGGCTTCATCTTCTAGTTTGGACATCTCCTCCTGGCACCTTCGCAGGGATGCTTGGTTCAGCCTGTGCGAAACAGGAGGGGGGGCTGTCACCCGCATTGACCCCTTGACTGAGAGACGGCTTTCGAGCAACACCACCACCGTGCTTGTGTCCTCCTAGGACCCCCCACACCATGGGGTGACACTAAAGGACATCAGAGTGGCTACCACTTTGCAAGGACCTGCACATGTTTTAGCAAGTGTTTTCGCTGCTCTGATTCCTTACACCATGGAAAAACCCCTCTCCTCCTGCCTTTGCTGAGACCAAGATGCTGCCTCTCCGAGGCTTCCCCCACCTCACACCCACCCCACCCCACACATGGCGACGGCTGCGATCCCTCCTGTTTGGCGTACGAGCCTGGAGAGAGACTCTGGGTGGCTGTGTCAGCACCGCTGGCTTGGAGATCGTTACCAAACCTCTTGCCTATGTTAAATCCGGCAGCATATTTACACCAGCCCAGAAATATCTTTCTACACCGCTTTTTCTGGTGCTGTGGGCAAAAAGGCTTCTGCATTTGTGCAGCGAGCAGCAGCGGGGCTTGCACAAGCATGCCCACGGGTTCCTCCCTGCTCCCTAACCCATAACCTCGTGTGGCAGCTCGTGGAATGGGAGCATCACCTTCGGTCTGGACAGCTCTTCCCATCGGCTCCCACGCCTGCCTTGGTCCTGCTGACACTGTCCCTCCGCCCCAGCCGATGCCACTGCTGTCACAGGGTCCGGCCACCCCGGACTAGGGAGTCTGCCAAGGTTTCCCCGGCTCTGACACTGCTTAACTGCGTAGGGCCCTGCAAGGCACCATTGCAGAGAACTGAGGGGACCTTTCTCTCCTAACACTTAATTTTTACACTGTGGCCACAACATGACCGGTCCCAGGCAGAAGCACAACCTGGCAAGGGGCTCCTTTCCCCGAGTTCCCCATCACTTTGCATCCCAGGACTTGGTCTCACTCAGACCCGTGGCCGGTAACAGCCACCTTGCCTTTCGGTACCTGAGCTGCTCCACGCTGGCCTCGTAATCTTTCAGCATTTCTTCTTTTCTTTCCAGGCGACTCTTGAGGTTCCTGATCTTATCGTACAGCAGCTCCAGGTCCTTCCGTCTCTGCAGTCCCACTTTTTCCCTCTTCTCCTGAGGAAGGTGCTTCAGAGACTGCATTCCTGACAGCTCCTTCACCTTCATCAGGCTTCCCAAAGCACGAATTACATCAAGGTACTGTAGGAAGAAAAGGGAATGCATTATTTACTAAGCCTGCCAATTCCTCTGCCACGTAACATCACATCGCTCAGCCATCTGCTTTCATTCTGCTCTACTGAGGGAGATGAAAACATCACAAGGAAACTGCTGCGTGCCTTCCCCTTTGTTTCATTTCCACACGTGCTTTCCCTGGGCGAGCTTTTCTGAGCGCTCTTAAAAATACGGCCGGCTGCGGTTTATCCGTGCCTTTGGGCTGCATACTTGGAGGCACTTGGAGAGGTGACCCACCGCACAGCCACATGTCCCAGCTCCAGGGCCAGCCCCTTTCACTCCTGGCATTCGATTTCCAGCCGCACGACTCTTTGGGGTTGGATTTTCCCTTTTTCAAGATGACCCATTTTCCCTGCTGGATGTTTTTCTGCCTTTTTCGGAGGGAAGAGACCCACTTTCACAAGCCACCCACTGAGCTACCAACAGACACCTCCATCACTCCGCAGCCTCTCGCATCATTTAGCAGGCGTCTAAGTTGGTGAAGGTCTCCGTCCTCACCAACCCTACCTCTCCTTGAGGATCAGCCCCGACTGCCCAAGGGAACACCCCCAAAGACCTTAGGTGGGAAGGGGAGAAGGACGTGCCATTGCGTGTTCTGGGGTCCTGAGGCGTCCCAGCAGATGCTCGGCGCGCCCTGGGTCCTGCAATACGCAGTTTATCCTCGACCACGTTCCTGCGGAGCCCTGATGCCAATCGCTTACTTCTGCAATGCGTTTGAAAATGATCTACCCTCTAACGAGCGCTGGGTACCATTTTAACAGGTCTGTGGCTGACATACCATCTTCTCGCCGAGGTCAGTCACATCAGCCATCTCCGAGCTCGCTGCCCCATCAGTGGCCCCGTGCGAGCCCCCATTAGGAACATGGCCGGGAACCTGCGCAGACAGGGAAAGACCAACGGAGCCCACAGATCACCTGGCTTTGGGTTGAGCTGCCTCGAGCCTCCCTTCCGCTGCATGGGAAAACCGCCCTGGCAACGCCGCGGTCCAAAGCCTCCCACCCCGCTCAGCCTGCGGCGGCCCCGAGCAGCGCCGCACCAAGGGCGCTGGGCAATATACAGCTCCTTACAGCAGCCATGACACCCTCTGCAAGCAATGCCTTCCATTAGGCTGCGTCTTGCATGCCGCCAGATTTTACACCTCCCTCTCTCTCCCCCTGGCATTTCAGTTATTATATCTGAAAGCCTAATTCTCCCTATTCCAGGGAATACTTTTCCAAGGAATCCACAAACACTGTGAACCACAACCTGCCTTCTTACCTCACCGGCCTTCAGTTTTGTTCCCAACACGGGTGCAGCTTCCTTCTCAAGACCTGTTTTCTCGACCATTTTCTCTGGTAAGTCTTTCGTCAGGACCACCAGCGGCTCCGAACCCATCTTCACAACAGCTGGAGGCAAACACCCACCGAGTCGTTCCACTCTCCAAATGACATGCTGTGGCTTCATACTTCAGCCACTTTGAGGCTTGCTAGGTTTGCCCTTACGGAGACCGTGCGTGGAGGGATACACAGGCTATGGAGTAAAGCCTGCACCAGCCTTCCCTGCAGACATCACTATCCGAGTGTTTGGGCATCGCTTTCTCTACATAAGTAGGATGCAAACCGATTTTTCTGATGGCAATACAGAGATTGCACCACAAACTGCTATTCTACTTGTAGCTTCTAACAGAGACGGCACTGCTTTGCCATGCTGCTCTCGATACAGGGATATAAGCGACGGAAAGGGACTGAAAGAGAACGAGTTAGGGCAAGCAGAAGATTCTCACAGCGTACAGTACTTGCAAGGCTTTGCAAGACCACAACACCCGAGGCTCGGTTCCTTTGGGTGACAGCTGCTCTCTCTTGCCTTGAGGAGAGCAGCACCCGAGCGCGGGAGTGATCGTGCACGGAGCCGGGCGCCTGCTCACTTCTGGCTCTGACTGCCCAGCACCTACCGCTGCAAAACCCTTCGCCAGCTGCCTCTCTTTGCCGACTCCTGCAAATGCCACCTCCTCCCATGTATACGCTTACCAACGCTTAACGCCTGTGAATGACACCAAGTGCCTTTCTAAAGCCTGTAGCTGCCCTGCGGGTTCTTCAGAGATGTTTTCCTATCACTTGCACGGATTAACGTGTGGACGCAAGAGCTGACTTTGCAAGGGAAAAGCCCGGGCCCATCACGAGTGAAGAGCCGGAGCCCCTGGCACAGCCTGTTGCGCCTTCCCTGGCGTTACGTGCTCCACCGGCGCAGACCCCGGGGTCTGCCAAAGGCAACTGGACGCATCTTCCCTTTTTAGTGACAGGCACGCTTACCTGAGGGCTGTCTCTTCTCCAGCATCTTTATTCTCTCCCGGAGCTCGGCCAAGCCTTCTTTTTGGCGCTGGATCGTTTCCTCGTGCCTGAGGCCTCGGCATTTCGCGCCGAGGTCGGCCAAGTCCAGCGCCGGCTCCTGGAAGAAGCCGCCCAGCCGGTTCTTGCCCAGCCTGCATCTGGGTCAACACGAGCTCAGCTTAAACCTAGCTTAAACACAGCCTTGCGGAAAGGTGCTGGTCACTTGGCACGTGCCAAGAGCAAAGCCTATGGAGCATCTCACCCTACACCCTCTCTGTGGATTCGTGGGGTAGAAGAGCAGCATCAGAGACCGCTTTCACGTTCCACTGCGCCAGCCATGCTCCGGTGAGGACATAAGCCCTGCAGATGCTCCGGAGAGCTGGGAGAGGGACGGTGCGCGGCTCTGAAGGGCCACGTCAGTCTTTTTCTCTTGCACTTTGTGCTACCGTGGAGCATTTACTGTTTTCTATGCACAAATACCAACACACCTTGTGGCCTGCGTTTATACATGATCTCATGCATCAGTCTCTTAAACGACACCCGTGCACACAGACACACACATTTCCCTATTCCAGCCCCATCCAGCTTGCTGCATTAAGATGAACATCCAAAAATCTGGGATGAGGCAGGCCCATCATCACACCCCGCACGCAGCTAACGTTGGCTGCAAACTGCCCGCTCGGGTCTGGAGGCCGTCGCCCCGCGGCACTGCTCGGCGAGACGCAGTTTGCTCCCGAACTGCGGCTTTGGCTGGGCTGCGCCTCCAGCGCTCTGCGCTTCCCCTCCCCATCGCTACGTGCAGAACAGGACGGGCGATACCTCCCGCTCATCATCTGGCTGTGAGTCACCGCTTGGCCCCCACACATCCAGCCTTCCTCGCTGGCACGCTGTCTGCCACTCTTGCGGTACAGGATGTACCATTTCTACAGCCCCTCCATCTGCTGCTGCAAACACCTTCGAGTTCTTCCCATTTCTAGCACCGGGGAAATCAACAGGAATTCAGCACAGGAGGACAAGGAGCATTTATTCCTGTCCTGTGCAATAAGCTACCCCTACTCCTGCACATTCAATCCTATAACTGCTTCTGTGTCGTCAATATAGCCAGCATCTACGGCTGAGCAAGATTGGGAAAAGCAGGGAACGCTGGCAGATCTTTCGGTACACTGCTATCCCCTCCCTCTAATTGGCAATTATCGCAGCCATTAGCACACACAACGCTTCACAGTTCCAGAGTGCTGCACAAACATCAGCTCATTAGCCGGCAGCAATGCCTGCGCAGGAGCGCTGCCAGCACGGCTACCCCGGCTCGCAGGCAGCACAGGCAGCCCTTGGCTCGGGAAAGAGCGGCCGGCGCTCCTGCGCTCCTGCCTTCAGCTCTGAGCAGACCCGAGGCTTGGCTGGGCATAGCCAGGTTTCACCACGATGCTGAGAAACACCGTGTGCGTGATCGATACTGTCAGCAAACCCAGACCTCGGCAGCCTCTGTGCAGACTGACCCTCTCAGATGCTTCACTCGCCGGCACTGGCGTCCCAGGAGCATCCTCCGGCTTTTCCATCGTTTCTCGGGAGGCATCCTTCAGCGCCTGACAGTCGGCTTGGGCTTGCCTGTGCCAAGAGACAAGACTGTTGTGGGACACCATGACAGATGAAGGTCACCCAACAGCTTGTGGAGAGCAGCACCCTGGGCACCCGCCGATGACTACCACGGCGTGGGTGCGAACATTCACTTAGTTACAAGTGACTTACTTAGACGCTCACTGGCATGAGCTCCACTAAACCCCCATTTCAGTTTGCATGGCACTTCCACAGAGACAACATTGCTGAGCTCAATTCTGATGCTTTTAAACTTGCCTTCTGCTCCCAGGGAGATACCCAAATGCCATCGGCTGCTGGGAATCTACAGAGCAGCTTTTGCAAAGCCTCAGGTCACAGCGGCGTGTACCTTAACTCTTCAGCTGCTGCTTTCAGGGCTTGATCCTTCTTCTCCACGAGGCTGGACATCTGGGATAGCTTCTCTCTGAGCAGGTTCAGTTCCCGTTCTTGGCATTTCACCCGGCTCAGGTTCTGCTCCAGTTCCACCTTCTGCTCCTCGCTCAGCTCCCCTAGGAACACAACAGCTCCGTGGTTTCTTTGTGGGTTTCTCCTCACCCAGCCCTGGGGGTTCCGCAGTTCTCAGGGAAACAATGTTCACGGATGTGTCCCCTTTTCCCAACACACCTCGCGAGGGCTGTCAGCAATAATGGAGCTTGTCTCCGCAGCCCTGTGCCCTGCCCCCGATAGCAGCCCTCAGGTCCTGGGCCGTGCCGACAGACCTTGCTTTCCTAAATCACAGTGCAAGGCCAGTCTCTTTGTGTGGGCATTTGCTTTGCGTAGCACTTGCTACGGCAAATTTCCTTCTGATTGGAGAAGAATGGGATCGCAAGCATGCCCCGACTTGCAGACTTCTACCTTCTTACCTTCCTTGTAGGCGCTGTCCCTACTTTTACACTGCACCGTTACAGGCAGCGACAGCAAGCCGCGCGCATCCCTTAGCTTCGAGGGTCAGGCTCGTTTCTGCCCGCTCTGCTGGGTACTCCCATGAAGCCTCCCCAAAGCAACACCGTGCCAACTGAGGAATCCCAGGCAAGGCTCTCCCAGTCTGCTGGCTTAGGATACCTTAGGCTCAAAGAAGCCCACCGGTGGGATTTTGAGAAAGATGGCCTCAGTTTTGTCCACCCGATCCCCGTTTGGTTACCCTCACTCACCATCACTGCTATCGCTTAGCCAAGGACAGGAAGGAATTCACCTACCCAAAGGGAATGACCCCGAGCAGGTCAACAGCATTGCTTTAGGATGGTGACATCTAGTTCCCATTATCTGTGCGTGCCCACTAGTACCTGCCCTTGTTACTGCTCAAAAGAGGGATGGGAAGATGGAAACCTGGCAGTACGCTTCGCCTACCTCTCATGTCTGACATCCTGGCTCTGGTTTCCGTGAGCTCTTTGGTTAGTCCGGCGATGATGGCCTCCTTGGACAGGAGCACGCTCTGCGCCGCTGCCAGCTCCTCTCTGAATTTCCTGAGAAAGATAATTGCAAATCTCACAGAAAGACTCCTTTCAGGGAGCCTGTGCACACCTTCCTGAGCTGCATCCCATGATTAATACACACATACTACTTTTTAAACTGCCTTTCCGTCCCCTAGGTTCATGCCTGTGGCACTGGACTTGCCAGCTCACTCTCTCTTACCTGGAGCCATCTGGACAGGACAACAGATCACTCACACACTGTTCGGCATCACTTTGACACTGTATGCACTTAAGACCATCTCAGCCTAGCAAAAGGACTCTTTTCACCATCACAGACAAAGAAGATTTCAGGACAAGTTGCAGTCAGCCCCTTGGTCTTCCTTAAGCTCTCCTGGCGATAACTGCTCTTCTCCAAGCCCCTCTGAACAAGACCACCATCAGCAAGTGCTGCTTACCTCAGACAACTGTGGGACTCTGCGGCAGGAGAAACCTCCAGCCAAGCTCCCGATGTCGACTTGTGGGCATCACCCCGAAACCCTACCGGACACAACAACAAAGGCCAATTACTTCTTTGTAATGTGTACACGTTTGGCCTGCTCGCTTCTGCTACATATATCCTTCCCTTCACAACAGTTTTGAAGACTGAGGACCATCTTTTTTGGAAACCCGTGTCTCTTAGGGCCCAGTTCCAACAGTGTTTAGCCAGTTCCTTACATCCTTCCTTGCTCAGGATCACTTATGCCTGGGTGCAGCTCAAAGTGCTCCAGTCTTGTTGCTTTAGAGGGCAAAGAGCCCTTCTCCAGTGGGAAAGCCCTGTCTATGACTGTGGCGCACTACCAACAGTCCCCAAAGCCACAGAACAATATAGTGCAACTCCCTGTGGCTTCTTCTGGGACTCATGGAGCTCGTCCTGCATGCAGGCAAACCTCAAACCAACATCTTCCACGATGCTTTTCATAGCAGCAAATGCACTACTCCACCTCTAGACAAATTTCACGTTCATTGAGAAGGTTCCCAGTACAGACTCATCCCATGCGACCCTTAGCTACCTTCCATTTTCTCCACAAGTGCTGCATTTTCCTCCTCCAGTGTCTTCCGCTGCTGCTCGGCCTCCAGCAACCTGTCCTCTAAAGCCACAATTGTCAGAGAATGCTGCTTGCTTTGCTCTTTATATTCCGCTATTTCTTCCTGCAGTTTCTGTCTCTGTAACTCATTCTCCTCCCGAATGGTCTTGAGCTGCTCGTCTCGCATGAGCACCCGCTGCTGTAACGCCATCTAGGAAACAAGATGTGTGATCTCGGTCGGAAGCGTTGCGCGTCTTTTCCTTTGGGATCATGATCAACATCGTCTCTCCCGGCTAGCAGTCAGAAGGACAGAGGGAAGGATTTCAGGGAGAGGGGAGGCGGCAGTGCCCTGCCCCCTCATCAGCAGGGATGGAGAAGCCTTCTTCACCAAAACCGCATCTACGCCACGTCCTCTGCCTGCACCCAAGGGTTGTTGGAACTACCTCTCGCGTCGCGGCTTCCTCCAGCTCGTGCGCAGCTTCTCTCACTTTGCAGTCTGTAACCTCCTGTTCCTTTGACTTCCTTGCTATTGCCTACACGAAGAAATTAGCAGTAATTAAGTTAACAAGGTTGCAAGAATCCACCTTTCTCTCTGCAGGTATGCATCTATGTGTATTTGGGGGGAAAAACCCCACAGTCCACTGACGGCCCCTGACCAAACGGACCACCATGCTACAGAGCACTTTCAGATTTACTTATTCCAAGTGTGAGCAGTTCTGCTTTACCTCCCGTGCATGCCACTGACCTCAGTCATGCTTCTCAGGTGGCTCTCCAGGTCTTGGATCTTCTTCTTTTCTTCCTCCATGGATTGCTTGCACTTGTCCTTCTCCTCGGCGACAGCACTCTCCAGAATCTGAGAATTGACAGCCCACAGTTTCAGTACAGAAAAAAATCATACCGTTAGGCAAAAGACCTCGACTCCAACAAGGAAAGCAACCAGGAGGGCCACTGCTCTGGAGCAGGGGCACGTTACGGGAGAACACCTTGGCAGGACACAAGGCGACTCGATGAGGGAGGCGACGAGAGCGCCTGGGGAAAGGTACCACAGAGAGACCAGGAGGAGCCGCTTAGCTTTTCCTCACCTGCCTCCTCAGAAAACTCCATGCCAGGAAACAACCATTCCCGAAGCATGCTAGAAACCGTCTTGCAAGACCACCACGATATGCTGGCCCCATCACAACATACAGACACAACAAAACACCAACTCACACCTTTACTGACACTACGTCCTGCACCAGCGCCATCGGCTCCATGACCTGGGCTTCCCTGGGACTGAAGGTGACCCAGCAAGACCCTGCCAGGCAGCCGCCCCCCCGCTCCACAGGGGATATACTTTTCCAGCCAAAACAGACCGAAAAGGAGTTCTGCATGGGGAAGGGAGGGAGTAAAAGGCTTGCCTACTTGCGTTTGTATTCCCTTTACTACAGACAATGTCATGTCTTTCTAAGCTCACGTATCTGAATGATGCTCCTTGCTTTCCGCTTTCTCCCAGGGATTGACCGGCAGCAGTGCATCCTGCCATTACCCAGATGCTTTCCAGTTTCACCGTGGATACTTTGAGGAGTTAAAATCACCCACATCAATATAGGAGGATATCTGATATCCAGCCTCCTGGGACTGCACCTGGACAGCTCAGGGCCAGAGACTTCTTCCTCTCACTAGGCAACACTATTAGAGAGACCTATTTTTCCTGCATAACAGTCATTCTCCTAAAAAACAACCATGGCACTGTACCTCTTTGTTCTCCTTGTCTTTTTCCAATATAATTTCCTTGATTTTTATCTGCAGGTCTTGCTCGTGTTTCGCTTCCAGCTCCTTCACGTGCTCCTGCAGCAAAGCTGCCTGCGACTCCTGGACCCTCTCTAATTGGGCCTATTGGGAAACAGCAGATACTGAGGTGTTAAAGGAAGCGTGTTAGCAGCAGGGCAAGCAACAAACATCCTGCGTGTGTTCACTAACAAACAATTCAAAAAAGAGATATACCCTCCATCCTTGCTGCATTAGGGATACAGACACCGACACGATGACAGCGGGCTCCGTCTTCTCCATTCCCCTGCATTTACTGCAGACCCAGGGACCTCTGCTACTGTACATTCCCAATTCGGATCCCACACCAGCTCGCTTAGGACTATCATCGTGTTTACCGACAGAAAGATCCCCAATCAACCCGGTTTATGTACACACACGTTTCTGTACCTGTAACATCTGATTCCTCTGTGCAGTTTCCTGACTGTTTTCCAACAGTCCCCCGAGAGCAGCCAACAACCCTGCAAAAGCCAACGGCATCTCGCTGTACGCGGTGCTCACACAGCCCATATGTACCACCTGGAGCATCCTCGGAGGCCTGGGGATGCCACTTGCCTCCTTGCAAAACTCGCTTTGGCCACTGCTGACCTTCAGCCCTGGCCATCACCCCCCTCGCCTGATGGTGGGGGTCCACGTTCCTCCATAGGCAGTGGGGAGGAGAAGGGACCGCCACTAACTTCCCACACAGTCGCCCCCTGCGCTCATTGGGATACCCAGAAAACACTCGGCGTGGGCTTCCCTCCCAGGCCGGGGCAGCGGATGCGCTGGTGTCGGCTATTGGGGAAGGAGAGACCCGTGGGCAACAGTTCTGCCTTGCACCCAGAGACCCTCACTAGGCTGGAGACCTTCACGAGCCTCTTGCTATGGGAATTAGGCTCAGAGATCCCCTCGGAAAGGCTCCGAGGGGCCAGCCGAGGGGTTCCCTTCTCCACTTACTGGAACAGCAGCACGTTCCCACCCCTGGGAGATCACTGCTATTGCCGAGACCACTTACTGGAACAGCGGCACATTCCCACCCCTGGGAGATCACTGCTATTGCCGAGACATCGCTGGAAGGGAGTTTGACTGCGCATACAGCCCGGCTGCCTGTTCCCTTGTCACACGCTGTCACCCATTTTGCTGCGTCACCCCGTCTTTTCTAAGCCCGACACTTCCGCAAGAGCCAAGGACGGCTCGTTGCCGCACAATGCTCCTGGTGCTATAATTACCACTCTGCTAACCACAGGGGCCTCGCGGCTCCTCCTGCGCCCTCGCTGACACGGCGCCGCTCTGCCCCGCTGCCGCCCAGCGCACGGCACGTCCTGCACCCCTGTGCAACGCTGAGTGCTGCCGTGAGAGCGACGCTCGCCCTCCCACGCTGCTGTCAGAGCCATTACTCCTCTGCAGTGACGCTCCACAACACACGATGCTTTGACACAGACCTACGCTTTGCTTTTCACGCGCTTTTCACCTAAACTTGGTTTTGGCAAGCTCCACACAGCAACTGCTCTGCCGCTCCACCACAGGGGTTGCACAGGAAAGGAAAGACAAAGTAATTTGGAACCTCGAGACCAGGGGTTCAGATCTCAGCCACCACCATGGCCACAATCTTGGCCAAGAAGCGTTTCCTATATGCCACCAAGGCAAAACCCACTTTGCCTGAATAACCACGCTGTCAGTGGATCAGGCCCACCACACGCAGACATCACATCCCACAGACAAACCCCCCTGAGTCCTGTGGGCAGCACCGGCTACATGGGGTGACCGGTGCCGCAGAGGCAGGGAATAGCAGCACGCACGCTGCCTGAGCAGGTTTCTTGCCCAAACTGCCCGAGATTTGCACCAATGTGGGGGCCTGGCATCCCCCAAGCAGTGGCTCCCCCTGGACTTTCTCCTCTGCGGCTGGCTAGCCAGGACATCCCACCTGGAGCAGGTTTGTTCCCAGGGACACCCAGCAGGACACGGACCTTTGCCGGAGGTGCGCAGGTCCATCCCCACGCTGGCCAGGAGCTGCTCCACGCCCTCCAGCCAGGACAGGGGGACACGTGCCATTTCCACCACTGCGGCGGCGATGGCCGAGACGGAGGGGTCCAGGCACACCGCCTCCAGCCTCCCCAGCTCCCCTCGCAGGCTGTCACTGCTGCAGGAGCTCCTCAGGCAAGCCTGGAAAAAACACAACCAGTGAACAAGCCTCCACAGTTAGTGGGCTTCTGGGACTCGGCAAATAACACAACGTCTCTGAAAAAGCCCTGGGTACAACCACGTGAACACTTCGCTATGACACTTCACTTCATGGGTCGATATCTTTGGTGGGAACGGCTCCTGGCAGGCCCAGGGGAGGACACGCTTCTGTGACGCCTCCTGTTTCTTTCCAGCCAACGCTTTTTGGGGCTACACTCACCTCTCGCTGATCTGGAGAGCTGCGTGCTGGCTAGCGCTAATGCACAAGCGTATCTTGTCTCAGACCTATCCGCAGGCCAAAAAAATGCCCTGTGCCACTCATCTCCTAGCTGCCAGTTGGTCATCAGTATTTAAAGGACTGACCTGGAGCTCCCACAGGGATTTCTTGAACACCTCAACATTTGCAGACACCTCCTTTTCCTTGGAGAGCCTGGAGCTTAATTCCTCCTGCAGACACTTCTCTCTTTCATGACTTCGTTGGTTCTCATTGGAGATCTGCCTGACCTTCTCTACCACCTGGCAAAAGCATGTGAAGGAAGAGGAGAATAAGGCATTATATTAATACCCTTTTTCAGCTGAGGGACCACAGATTGTCTCAGCGAGCAATGATTGAGGCTTGCTGCAAACTGGTAGCCACGTCAGACTCCTGGGCTTCTCCCTGTTGCAGCCCACTGACTCCATTCAAGCTTTGGGAGACAAAAAGGATCATGTCTCCTTCACATCACGGAGCAGCGTCATTAACCTGGGATAGCCGCAGCACAGCTTATGGTCTGGAGAAGCTTGGCTGCTACCAGCACTCCTGCGCACGGAGCGGGCACCACGGCTGTTCTTGCAG